GCCCCGCCCCCAAGGACCCCCCACGCCCCCAAGATCCCCCTTCTTGTCCCCAAAGCCCCCCTCCCCTGTCCCCCACCCCTGTAGGACCTTGTGGAGCCACTCGGGGGTGACGATGGGGACGCCGCGGGCCACCGCACAGAGGAACTTGACGGTGCGTCGGACGCGGTCGGTCACCAGGTGGGTGCAGTCGAAGATGGAGGTGGCCATGGACCCCCCCAGTGTCTTCAAGGCCACCTCCATGGCTGGGGAGGCCACCACTCCCGTGAACATCACCTGGGAAGGTGGGGACACCACGGGGACGTGTTGGGGACAGCCCCGGGGCGGCCACCACGTGAATGAACAGAACATGGGGACGTAGGGACATCATGGGGACACCCCTGGGGTGGCCACCACACTGATGGACAGAACATGGGGACGTGGGGACACCATGGGGACACCATGGGGACTTTGCTGGGGTGGCCACCACACCAACAAACGGAATATGGGGACATGGGGACACCATGGGGACACCACTGGCGTGGCCACCACATGAATGAACAGAACATGGGGACGTGGGGACACCACGGGGACACCGCTGGGGTGGCCACCACATGAGTGAACAAAACATGGGGACACAAGGACATCATGGGGACATCTCTGAGGTGGCCACCACACTGATGAACAGAACATAGTGACATGGGGACACCATGGGGACATCTCTGAGGTGGCCACCACACTGATGAACAGAACATGGGGACGTAGGGACATCATGGGGACATCTCTGAGGTGGCCACCACACTGATGAATGGAACATGGGGACACGGGGACACCATGGGGACACCATGGGGACACCATGGGGACACCATGGGGACACTGCTGGCAGGGCCACCACACCAAGGAACGGAACATGGGGACACCATGGGGACATCACTGGGGCGGCCACCAACCCCACAAACCTGGGGCCACCGTGGGGGCAGAGGGACGCCTTGGGGCCACCATGGGGCCACCCCAGGGGGATGCA